TTTAAAAGTTCTTTGGTGGCCGCGGTAGTAGTTTCTAATCACCCGGGTTTCTAATCCATTATATTGTGAGGTAGGGGGACGTTGTCCGAACTACTTGGACTTCTTACTACTCGGAGAGCTTGGAATCCCTTTTAGGGGGTGTGCACACTTAAGGGTGAAGTTCAGTTTCCAATTGGTGGTCGGTGGGAGCCGGAATTCCGGGATGAGTCGTACACAACAACGATTCATTGGACTCGAGGAATCTTGAGTTTCGCCCATCTTAAAAGAATCTAAGGGTGACATTGATTTTGGAATGGTGGTATTTTTAGCTGCAAAAGTTATATTTTGAAAAGTGATACTTTTATTTGAGATGTTAATTGCTTGGAGCTTATAAGTATTTTTTTTTAACTAAGGGTATTTGAGATTATAAAATTGATAAATGATATTTTTGATTTGAAATGAATTTTGGTGGTGTGAGTATTTTTATATAGTATTATATGAAAAACTATTTTCACCAAACGTGATTATTTTACGGGGTTGGGTAGTACTTACTTAGCTCTAAAGCTAATTTTTGTTTCCTTTTCTTTGTTTTGTTTTCTGCACTTTATTTGTGCAGGTAATAATGAATATGAAGCTCTTGATGTTTGACGAGCCTTGAGAGCGCTTTAGAAGATTAAGTGTAGTCTTCACTTGGTTTAAATTATGTTATTAAATTTTAAATTTAAGTTATTAATTCGGTTGAACTCATGGTGGATAGCCTTAACATCCAGCCAAGTTGAGGGCTGGGTGTGACGGTAACACACCCTTTTTCCATTATTGTTATTTCCGCTGCAAAACTCTATCTATTTTTAAGGAATAAATCAATGTTATTATCAATATATTATTTCTAAGTATTATTTTTGGAGGGAAAAATAGGGGTGTTACAAATTGATTATTTTTGGAGGGAAAATAGGGGTGTTACACCAACATCCCACCCCTGGACTCATACCCATCATCCCGTAGGAAGGTAAGGTCCTTCGGGGTCCTATCTTATGTGTTACCGCTACCGGAACCTAGTTAGGTTTCCGATTCGGATTCCACCCTAACCCGTGATCACGATGTAAGTCCATGCTATCCAACCCACTCTCTAGATTCGGGAAGGGCCATGGTCCTTACTATTTCCATAATTCGACCGGTTATCCACAAGGACTACCGAACACACCCGTAGGCCAATCCTATACTTAGGATCAATTTAATATTTGCATTATCTTGGGTATCCCTTAAGGCCTACCCCTAGTATAACTTAAAGTTCATACTTTCCTACCTTATAGCATCTCTTAAGACTACTTAAGGCATAACATTTCACAATCCAACTTTAGGATCAGTCTTAATAACATTTCATTTTAATGTCCAACTAGTATCTTAATACTAGTCAAATTAATATCAACGAACCAAGTTCTCAACTCATAGTCGTATAGACAATTCCAACTGATTTTCCTTTGAAAAATATCATTTATCTCAATATTCAAAATATCACTTTTAATCACTCATATATTCTAATATGAAGAAAAAGTATATTTCAACATATGTTTCATAATAAATTCCACTTTCAAGTCAACATACTCATAACACATGAACATACACAATTTACTCTTAAATTTGTATATCATGCTCCCTTTTTCTTTAGACATTTAGTCTTGTCATTTTTAGGCATTATTAATCATTAATAATCCATAAAAATACTTTTAATTACCTTCGGTAATCTCATGAAATTAACTCATTAATTATAAGCAATATAGTCAGTCATCCTCACCTTATGAAGTGCTGAAATAGTTGCCTTTGCTAAGCCCCTCGATCAATCCCCGTTCTAGGCCGATTGAAGGTGTAGAACTGAACTGCTGGGCAAAAGCCGGGCGGCTTTCACGAAAGCCGGGCGGCTTTCGTGTTCTGCAGAAACGAGCAGCTCCCTTAAAGTGGCGGTTTCCGGCGATTTTGACTCCTATCGATTCACCAACTCTTCTAAGTTAAATATCACCGCTTTATATCAATATTCTACACTTTTAAACGTGTATAACATCATGTTTAATCCATCATATGATTTCTCACAAATCATACACCAAAAACTAGTTAAAAGAACTATTTGAATTCTTACCTTTCTTTTAACTTAGTTTCTCTTGGGTTTCCTTCCTCCTAGCTTCCTCCAACTGTGGCTGAGGTTTGTAGAAGTCAACTCCAGAGTTTCCTCTCTCTCTTGAGGTTAGGCTTGTGCGGGTGAAATGGAATGGGGGGATATCTTCTCCTCAATCAATTTGAGAGATAATTGAGGGAGTAAGACAAGGGAGGGGTGTGGGTTTTGTCTCCTCCAGCCTCCATTCTGTCAAATGGAGCTCACAAAACGTGGGGTGGCCCCCACTCATGTGGGAGGTCATCCCCTTCTGTCCCGGTGTGTACCATCAGTCCCGAAAGTTGTATTTCTCAGACTGTTTTAATTATATTTCATTTTATCGGGCCGGATAAGATATCTCACACGTTCCTAATAGTAGGCCTTTAGAATAGATGTACGTTCCCCAACATTAATTAGGAGTCTCCGAAACTCATTTCGGGCTGTTATCCGCTAAATTACCAATACCGGTAATTGGGCCCCGTTTGACCAACCGGTCAACTCAATGTCTTTCTTATGGCCCAAATAAAATATCCACCACCATGTACACATTATCTAGACCAAGATGAATATAATATGTGGTTCGGGAATTATCGGGCGGTCCCCGTTCCCGCTGTGGGCCCCACATGCAATTTACTATTCACGTAAAAGAAATAATAAAAATTTACAATTACGCAAATTCATAAATCATCTTTCAAGGTTTATTACATAATTCACTAAAAGTAAATATGCCCAGGGTCGGTGTTACACTGAGCTTACAAAATCTTGGATTTTCGGATGCATGTGTAGCTGCTCTTGCACCTGGAGGTTAGTAGATTAAACTTTCATCAGATGTTTACTATACAAAAGCGATTTTAATCTTTTAGGTATTTGTTTGGACCTCCTGTGAAACATAATCTGCAGCTAAACTTGTCCCTATATTACGGATTGATATGCACAGATGCACACATTCTGTCCCTAAATTAGATTCCAATTTACCTGAGTTACTCTGTTTATTTTACTGCTTACCCATATGGTACTATCGTACTGAGTAATTTTCTAAACCATTTCTTGTTATTATTTCTCCCCGTCTGAGGAGCAGTCCATCAATATATAGTTGGGCAATCAGAAGAGGAAGCTTCTAAAGCGGGTAGAAGCCTAACAGATTTCAGGTATGCTTGTGTTGGTTATTCTGTTTACCCAGATAACAAATCTCACCCAACTGACGGACAACAAACACAGACAGAACTGCCATCTTGTGTTGAATGTTTATGTGATCTAATATGAGGGCTTTAATGATTATGTTTGAAGTTGCTCACTGTACAAGTATGGGCTTTAATGGACTTGTTGTGTAGATTAATATCTCGTTTGTCAAACATTAGTTTGGGCTCAAAGCATTGCCAGTTTTGTCTTATTAGCTCATTGTGATGTACTGATGTTTTAAACTTTTAATTATTATTGTAAACCTAGTTATCATAACTCATTAATTATTAAACTAAGTAGTATGTAACATGTTTATTATGTTTAACCTTTAAACTTTATTTGCTTAATGTAGTATTTTTTGTCTAGAATATTTTGTTTTTTGATTTTATGTTGAAACTGAGTTGACCGCCTAGTCGACGACTAATCGACGCCTAGTCCGCCTAGGCGCTAGGCGGTGCTTGACCGCCCGCCTAGCGCCTAGCAAGTTGTAGAACATTCCAAATGACAATCAAAGAAGTTGGTGATAAGAGGTACCTTTTTACTTTCAATCATCATGTTGATATGAACCGTGTTATTGATGGTGGTCCATGGCAATTTGAGCGTAACCTGTTATTATTAAAGGAGGTAAAACCTGATGGTATTCCACATAAGATTGTTTTAAACGAGACTGATTTTTGGGTTCAAATTCATAATGTTCCCTATAGCTTGGTGAACCTAGGTACTGCAAGATGAGTTGGAAATTTTATTGGAAAATTTATAAAATATGATGATGCTCAGAATAAGGAGAAGTGAGAGCCCTTTATGAGAATTAGGGTGTGTATGAACGTTGATAAACTTTTGAAAAAGGGTACCAATCTGAAAAAAGAAGGAAAAAGTTATTGGGAGGATTTTAAGTATGAGAAATTGCCCAATTTCTATTTTATATACGGATTAATAGGGCATTCAGATAAATTTTGTCCGTTAAATTATGAAGAAGATATTGTGCTGGGAACAATATGTGGGGATTTGGGAATCCTTGGGGAAAGAAAAGATTGGAGAGGATAATATGGCACTGGTGGGACAAAAAACGGGGAGAGGCGGACTTCGATTTGTAAGTTCGCCAAAACAGATACAGTCAGAATGGGTGTGGAAGTTATGGGTGCTCGTGCGACTTGGCAGGCTCGGGTAGAGTTTCAAGATTATTTGCTTTATTTTTTTCTTTAGTGACTACTGTCTTTGCATTATCTTTTGTTTTGTTTTTATTGTTCCTGTTTGTAAGACGATGGATTTGGATAGAGGTGATGGGAGGATTGTGTTAACCGTCTTTGGATCATTTGTGCCCATTAATAGATCATCAATTATATTGCTTCTTTGGAGGTGATTAATTCTGAGTCTGGTTCGTAGAACGGCGGTTGTCAGGATTCTTTTTGTCGGATTACGGGTTTACCTACTATCTGAATGATGTGTTATCGATTTAAGCCTATTTCTTTCAACAAAAAAACCTCTCTTCCATGGGTGATGATGATGACTCAGGGCTCACGCGGCAAGATACTCAACATAAATTCCCTTTTTTATACAAAAATTATGTTTGTACCCACTCTTATACACATTTTTGTACCCATCCATTTATGAGAAAGTTTCTTTTTGTCAGTGAACAATGTTTTGCGGAATATACGGCGAGTGAACCGGATTTACCCACCCAAAAAAAGGTTCACGAAGGGTACAAGGGTGGCTACACCTGTTTTTTATAACCCAGTTTCTCTGCTTTCGCTGCTAAGCATCTTCATATTCTTTATTTCTTTTACGCAGCTGATGATTTCTTTTACGCTTCCCGACATTTTCATTCTCTAAGTGGAGCTCGGAGCAATGGTGGTTACTGGGGACAGGTCGGAGATTGTGTTCTTTGATTTGGAGACGATAGTACCGACCCGGCCCGGACAGGGCCACGCGATAGTGGAGTTCGGGTCCATACTTGTTTGCCCTAGGAAGCTCGTTGAGCTGGATAGTTTCTCCACTCTGGTCCGACCAGCTGATCCTTCTCTCACGTCCAACCTCTCCGTCCGCAGCAATGGAATCTGCAAAAGCAACGTCGAGTCTGCGCCTACTTTCGCTGACATTGCTGACAAGGTCTACGACATTCTTGATGGTAAGCGCCTCTTTTTACTTCTAAGGTTTAGATGTTTGCTTTTTCTTTCCTTTTGAATAGTTAAGATAAGTATTCAATTGGAAGATTCCAGCTTGATGCGTCATTAAAGTTCTGATAGGTTCCTTGGTGGTAGCTGCTCTCAGCAACAGCAGAGCTTGCCAATGGGCATGCGTTTTATTGTAGTTGTACAGATGAATATATTTGTATTAAATAAACATAGTAGTTTGGATCTTTGGGGACTCGTAGAGCTGACATGCTGAGACAAGGAAGTGCTTGAGTGGGTGGGAACTTTTGAAATCATATAGACTTGAATATGATATGTTGTAATTAATCTCTATGTGCTTAGCAAAAGTTGGTTCCATTAGGACTTTTAACCTAGCCTGTGGTTTACACAGGGAGAATATGGGCAGGCCACAACATAATGAAGTTCGACTGCCCACGGATTCGTGAGGCTTTTGCTGGGATAAGTAGGCCTGCTCCTGAACCTAAGGGAACAATAGACTCACTTTCCCTGTTGACCCAAAGGTTTGGACGAAGAGCTGGAGATATGAAGGTATCACAAATCACAATCTTGCCAAAACATTCAACGTTTATTGCCCATTGGATCTAATTTTGCAGTAACTGGCTTTATATTTTTCACCCTACAAGTTTCAAGAATATCAAACTTGTAAAAATTAAAGTCTCTCAATTTGCTTAAAATTAAGCGAAATTTAGTCCTAGAGATTGTGATGTACAGCTAAAGTCGGTGTCTTTTCTTTTTATACTTTGATTTTATTATTTTTAAGAGGTATAAATTGCTTGTCTTTACCAAACATGTATAAACATGAGTTCTGGACATCTGGTTGATATAGTTTCCTGCTTCAGTTTTATTGCACAAGCCGCTTTATTTAAGAATTTTATGAATAAGTGGTTATGAGGTTTTGCATTAATCCTGGCATGATGTACACATGCTCCCAATTAAGGTCAATGATAGTAACAAGTGTCTTAGTGTGCAAGAAAACTACATAAATATATTTGTGGTATCACTTCAACACATCTAAAATAGATTTAGTGGACTGCTACTTTGGATCTTTTGTTATTTTCCAAAAATAATCCTGAGTTCTTGTACCAATGAATCCAGTTAACTTGACTTCCAATTTAATACCAGAGTGACCCATTTGAAGTTCTCCCTTCATTTTACTTTGTAGATACAATATTGAAGCCTTAAATCTTTGGCTCTTTGCATATGTCTAAGTTCTAACTGACCATCAATCTTGCTTGCAGATGGCATCTCTTGCTACTTATTTTGGTCTTGGGCGACAAACACACAGGTGAAGAGCCTTGTACTTAACATAAAGAAGATGCATGTCTGCATTATTCATTGCACTAGTTAACAATTTGTAAGTGTCATCTCTGTGTGGGGCTCATTTGTAGCTTGTGCATCCTCTATTTTTCTTCACTTCTTGGCTTATGGAATTAGGATTAAGGTGTCTAAGATTGACTGTTTGTGTTAAAAACCGAGAAACAAACTCAAATGACAAATGTTGGTTGGGAGCTCAACACCTATGCTTAACATACTTATATTGTTTACAGACAGATGATATGCCACTTAAAAATAACTAGGACCGTAGCCCATTTTTATGGTTTTGAGTTATTAACTAACAGTGCCCATCACTTTGGGGATCTCCGCAGTCATAATCTATCATTTCACCTTTTTTAATCCTTTTTATCTTCTTTATCTTTTTTTTTTTCTTATCTTTTTTATTCTTTTATCTTATGTTTTATATCTTTATCTCATCTTTATCTTATCTTTTTTATCCTTTTTATCCTTTTTATCTTATCTTATTTTTTTTATCCTTTTTATCTTATCTTATCTTTTTTATCCTTTTTAGCTTCTATTTCGTATGTTGATTCATGTTAGCTATCCCCGACCATTTTTAGGACTAAGGCTTGGATGTTGTCGTTGCATCAGTATATGCATCTGTTAAATAAATTCAGTTTTGATGGATGTAGGTAGTATGAGCACATTTGAATATTTGATTTTAATCAAGTGTTTCCATCATTTGCAATGGAGTCAAAGATTCACTATTTTTTGGCTTGAAAATATGATGAAATAAAGCAAAATGACTCACTAAACTGCCTGCGCTTCTTTGTAATGAAGCAACAGTCAGTTCATGCAATTTTCGACGCGATTTTCACCACGGGTCATCCAAAAACAGTCTCTTTGTGCTTTAGTACAGGGGTAAGTCTGCGTACATCTGACCCCCCTTAACCCACCGTAGGTGGGAGCCTTTGCGGCACTGGGGTGTTGATGATGATGATGTTCTTCTAAAGTTGCATTTCGAGCACCTTTATCTGAATGTAATGGTTGACTGTCCTGGAATTTTCTGTTATTCTACTTCAGGAGTTTAGATGATGTTCGAATGAATCTTGAAGTTCTCAAGTACTGTTCGACTGTACTGTTCTTGGTAAGGCAAAAACTGTCATTAATTAAATTATGAGTTACTTCCTCTGTCCCATAGAAAGGTTCTTACTCTTCTTTTTTAGATGTCCCATATAAAGGTTCTCATTTCCATTTTAGGAAACAATTAGCAATCATAAATGACAAATTAATCATTAAATATTAAAAACAATACATTTATAACATCAAAATTATCAACACTAACCCCATCATATTATACACCTATCAAAATTATTTCTCAAAATATACTCAAACTACCTTATTTAATTATTGTCTAAATAACTGAGTCTTTTTGTCATGGGAACCTTTCAACAGGACGGAGGTAGTATGACTTATGAGACATGCTCTTGAAGAGTCTAGCTTTAAGACTTATGAGTTACAAGCATCATTATTTTCCCTCAACCATGTATTCGTTTAGGGTATGTTTGGATCCCCAAAAGATGACAGGGAAAAGAAAAAACAGAAGTGCTTGAGTGTAGTTATTTTATTATGTTATGTTTTACCTTGGAAAGTGTCTGGGGAAACGAAATATGATTAATCTTTTATAAGATCTTACATGTGTAATACAACAACAACATTCAAGCCTTATTCCCAAAAGATTTTGGAGTCTATATAATAAAAATAAAAATAAAGTGAGTTTGGAGAAATTTATTAAATAAATTTATCAGGTTTGAGATTATCTTTTATTTTCTCCCAAATTTTCTACCCTTCCGGTTTTGCTCTCCAGTTTATTTCCCTGGCATTTCCGGGATCCAAACCCTTATGAATGAAATCTTTTTTTACCTTCAGGAGTCTAGCCTCCCCAACATTTTCACAGAGAATAGTTGGATTTCTCCTAATACTACCACGAGAAGCCGCAGTAAATCTTCTCCACAGGGGACAAGCCTCAGTCCAAGCACTCCCTCAACCGACCTTAAAGAAAATCTGATACATTCAGTGATAATTAGAGAAGCTGCAGATCATGACGTTTCATCACACACATCTTCAAGTGGAAAGCTAGAGGTTCAAGATGTCGTTGCATCCAGTTCATCTATGCCAGACCCTTTTAACATGGGCCGACTTCTTGATGAAATCGAAGGAGAACCACTCCAATCAAAAGATGACAAAAGTGATGATGAATGTTGTACTTCTGATGTGTCATCCATGGAAAATAAAAATGAGCTTCCCAGGGGTTGCTCTGAGTTCTTGGAATTGAATGAAATTTCTATACCTTATCTCTCTGTAACCCTTGTTCCATTTTATCGTGGAACTCAAAAAATAAAAGTACTACATCATTATGCTGAGTTGAAGATTTGTTGTAAAAAGTTGAAAGTTCGTTTTGGAATTAGTACAAAATTTCTTGATTATGCTGGTCGACCACAGATGAACTTTGTGGTGAACGCAACACACGATCTCTGCCAGATCCTGGATGCGATCAATAATCGTGCCCAGAAGCTTTATGTTGATTCAGGTAGCAGCTCTGAATGGAGGCCAATAGTCTCCAGAAAGCCTGGCTATGAAATTTTCCCTACTGTCCGCTTTCAGTAAGTTTTGTTTCTTCTCTTTATTACAAGAAGTTAGTCTGTTTTTTCCCGGTCTTCATATCAAGTCTGTTCTCAAGATGAAATGAACAATGATGAACTCTAGCCTTAGCTGGCTGATATATCATTCATTAACTCAAGGCTGAGTCTTTCCCTAAACAAATTCTCGCGGATTTGAGAGTTGGTTTGTTTCTTTACATGGAAAATTTGCAACATTCCTTAAAAGGAAAAAGTGGAACATATAAAACGGTTCTGGTAATATATTTAGGGCATGTTCTATTATTAGATTGAAATTTATTGGTCTACTCCGTTCTGTTCAAGCGGTTTTATTTGGACGAGTCTGAAGTGGTCTGGTATTATGTGTATTTTATTGTTATCCTAGGGGTTTGGACTGGTCTGGGCTGTTTCACTCTAGTTTGGTTTGTGGCTGATGTAAGTCCAAGTGAATAGGTCCTTGATGCTAGATCAATATTTTTAACCTCCCATGTGGACAGATACTTGGTCTAGATAACTGGTTTACAGCCCAACTTTCTAGTGCAAGGAGCTATTTTGGATAACTAGATTTTCTTTGAATGCTCAATTCGCAGGTTACCTGCCATATTAAATGGAGATATTATCTGCTGGGCCACAGAGATATATCACAAGGAAACGTCAACTGCACAAAAGTTGGCATGCAACAGATTTGATAATGCAGAATTGGATGCCTTGGTGACTCCAGGATCTCTTGTGGATATCTATTTCTCATTGGATGCATATGACTATCTACAATTTGCTGGTTTCCGCTTAGTTGCAAAGAAGATTTCTTTGCACCAGAAAAAGAGGTCATCAGGAGGCTCAAAGGTGTCTAGTTAAACTCTGCAAAATTCCCATTTTGCATCAAGTGTCATGAAGACATTTGATGATTCTGCACCAAAAGTTTGTGCAAAATTACCATTCTGCATCGAATCAAACACCTCCTGATAATCCTCCATCCCTTGACTGATGCGTCAAGTATCATGAAGACATTTAAGAATGAACTGTCTTCATGAACTTTGAATTCATTAAAATGATCCAGGGTTTGTTCCTCGGAGCAGGGGCAGAAATCTATAGAACTCTTGTGGTATTCCTCTGAGTTTGTGCAATGTCTTATCTGTTGCTCTCCACGCTTTTATGTAGTGTATTTAACACCGTACTCATCTAGCATATCTCTCATTATATTTGTTGCATTATATATTGTATTGGCATCCACTAATTTTGTCTCGATGCAATCTGCGATCAAACTAGATGATGCATGTGCTTGTTCTACTCATCCGACCTCAATGCTGCACGCATTCATGTTGATGAACCTTGCAGCAACAAATCTTCTAAATGTTTTGGTCTTTTTAGATCGCAGCAGCCAAATGTATCATCCAAACACTTTGCTACAAAAACCTTCTTATTTGGCTTATGAATTTCGCAGCGGAAGTGATTATTGATAGCATACAGTTTCACTGTTTTCTTGAACTCCACACAATTGTTATAAACGAATCTTTCTTTTGGATCTACCACATTGTGGATTATATAGAAGACAAATAAGTCTGAAGCCTGGTGTGATTTACCTTGTGGATATATAAGTTTGCACCTTACTCCGTATTATTTACTTTAATTGTAGTCTAATATAGTTGCTTATTGTGATAGGAGAAAAGAAGAACGAGGATAGAGACTCAAGCAAAGAACATCAATTGACACAAAAGGTCTCGTGGAAGGTATGCACTCCTTAAGAAACCTAAAGAACAGTTGAGGAAGCAAATGGAAGCATCACAATATGACCTTTTAGTGTTGCTTAGTGATCCACCATCCCCAATTAGGGTGCAAACTTGGAAAGCAGGTCGAGAGAACAAAAGTGGAGTGTTTCCTCATCAGGAGACATTTGAGGACCTGAAGTTGCTAAGAAGATGGTAATTGTTTTTTTATGCTCAAGTAAAAATAACTTATGGTCTTTTTTTATTGTTGTTACGTGGTAAATGTTTGATATTATTTGTTAGAGGAACAATAGAGTTAGGGAACCTTTGTTCATGAAGGACGTAATAATATAGTCACCACATGTCTAAATCCGGAGCACCCTAGCCGTGTATGCACCATTGGAGGAGGTGTTGGCCTTAGAGATTTCTATGTGTTGTCATCCCATAAGAGTACTGTCTCGAAAGAATAGTTGAAAGAGGTGATGGGGAGTTTCAAAATAAACTTTCGAGAAGAATGGAAAAAAGAAATTTATAATGAGATGCGTGAAGATATACTTAAGGAGCCTCACCGAGAAATGAAAGAAAATAATACCTCTCATTCTAAGGAAAAAGATCATACCATTTCGAGACGTGTAAGCACGAGAGGAAGTAATATTATTACTGAATTTGATGTTGGTCATGAAAGTGATGATGATGATGATCTTTACGAGTTGTTCATTGATGCTCCGCCTCCCTTCCGCTTAATTGCAAAGGGAAAATATATGATTTGGGAGACGCAATTCATCATCAAACAGTTGCCCCAAAAATGTGAAAGTGGAGGTCCTTGGAAGCAAGCGTTCCAATCCCGATTCCAAATGGAGAGGTTCAAACAGTGGGGCAAGCTCTTGAGAACTTCATTGCATGGCCAAGACGACTCTTAAAGGATGTCAAATCGCAGATTCCATAACTATATATAATCCTTAATTTTTAATCTTTTTAGCAATTTTCATTAAAAATTAAGTGTGCACTATTACCTTATTTAGGATAAAAAGAATGCACGTCAGTTCAAGACCGAAGATGTAGATGATCCTTTGTCGAGTTTGTGCTTATTTGCTAGAAGTTTGGAGTCAGACGTTGTACCAGTGTATTTGCTCGAAGATGTGATAGAACGTGCTCCTATGGAAACTAACTGTAGTTTTAGAGAATTGGTTGAAGTATCCATTAGTATAGATCTACTTAGCTTCATTATTTTACAATCGTGAATATTGTAAGTTACATCTATTTGAAGTTAACTCATTAAATTAGTTAGAATAGTTTTTTATTTACATGAACTTTTTTTGTGTTAGGTATCTATATCGCTTGTGCATATCTAAAGTATTGGTCATGTGTACGAATTCATTGATCAACACACCATTCAAGGAGTAAGCAATCTAACCAATGAAGTGCAGACTTATTTATTCACAATGTCAGATCATAACGAAAAGCAACGTTACTAGCTCCCTTTTACTTACAGGTAGTAATATGGAGCTAAGTAACATTACTTTCCACCTTCATTTAACCTTGTGGATATATAAGTTTGCACCTCATCTATCAAATTGCGTACTCCTGAAATGATGTGCGGATCAATGAATCCATACACATGATCAATACTTCTGGATATGCACAAGCGGTGTAGATACCTAACACAAAAAAGTCAATGCAAATAAAACATTATTTTAACTAATTTAATGAATAATCTTAAAATAGATGTAACCATGTAACTTATAATAACCATAAATGTAAAATAATGGCAATAAGTAGATCTCTACCCTTGCAACTAATTCCCTAAAACTACCATTGCTTTTCATAGGAGCATGTCCTATCACATCTTCGGACAAATACACTGGTACAACGTCTGACCTCAATCTCCTAGCAAATAAGCACAAATTCAACAAACGATAATCCACACCTTCGGACTTGAACTGAGGTAATAGTGCACACTTAAGTTTTAATGAAAATTGCTAAAAAGTATATGCATTAAGCCATTAACAATTATATATAGTAATAGAACCTGTGATTTGACATCTTTTAACTGTCTTCTTGACCATTCAATGAAGTTCTAAAGAGGTTGTCCCATCGTTTGAACCTCTCCATTTGGAATTGAAATTGGAGCGCTTGCTTCTACATTTTAAAAAATCTCCACTCTCACATTTTCGGGAAAGTGTGCTTCCCAAATCATATATCTTTCCCTTTGCAACTAAACGGAAAGGAGGTGGAGCATTAATGAATAACTCATAAAGATTATCATCATCGTCACTTGCATTACCAACATCAAAATTAGGAATAATATTACTCCGTCTTGTGCTTATACGTCTCAGAATGGTATGATCTTTTTCCTTAGAATAAGATGTATTATTTTCTTTTATTTCTCTACGAAGCTCCTTAAGTATATCTTCACGCATCTCATTATAAATTTCTTTTTCCATTCTTCTTGAAAGATTCTTTTGAACCTTTTCATTTCCTCATCACATATTTCAACTTTTCTTTCGAGACAATACTCTTACGGGATGACGACACATAGAAATCTATAAGGCTAACACCTCCTCTGAGAGTGTTCTGGATCTAGACATGTGGTGATTATATTATTATGCCCTTCAGGAATTCTATTGTTCCTTTAACAAATCATATCAAACATTTACCACGTAAAAAACACCACAAGTTATTTTTACTTGAGCATAAAAAGTTACCATCTTTCTAGCAATTTCAGGTCCTCAACAGTCTCCTTATGAGGAAACACTTCACTTTTGTTCATTTGACCTGCTTTCCAAGTCTGTACCCTAATCGGGGATGGTAGATCATCGAGCAACACTAAAAGGTCAGATTGTGATGCTTCCTCAATTGGTCTTTAGATTTCTTAAGGTTGCATACCTTCCACGAGACATTTTGTGTCGGTGGACGTTTTTTGCTTGAGTCTCTATCCCTTTTCTTCTTTTCTCCTATCACAATAAGCAACTATATTAGACTACGATTAAAGTAAATAATAAGGTGCAAACTTAAATATCCACAAGGTAAATTGCATTAGGCTTGAGACTTATTTGTCTTCTATATAATCTACAAAGTGCAAACACAATGTGGTAGATCCAAAAGAAGGAATCATTTATAACAATTGTGTGGAGTTCAAGAAAACAGTGAAATGGTATGCTATCAAGAATCACACCTGCGGCAGAATTCATAAGCCAAATAAGGTGTTTGGATGATAAGTCCATTTGGCTGCTACGATCTAAAAAGACCAAAACATTTAGACAATTTTCTACATATCTTCTCCAACTCTTCCTACACTCTATTCTCTAATATTCTTAATAATCTTCTCCAATTCTCTCTACATATATTTATACAATTATTATATCTACTTATAAATACATATAGTATATTACTAAAATTTAATTATATACTTCATATTTATTTAATATCTACTTATTATATTATTGTTATTTACTTACATATTCCGTATTACATATACTTATATATATTAAAGTATTAAATATAACTATATAAGTGTATTACTCATCTTATTAGTTAAACAATTATTATATCTACTTATACATAATATATTAAGTACATATATATTAAAGTATTAAATATGTGTGTACTACTCATCTGATAGTAGTATACTTATATACTATAAACAATATATTATATATTAGTTAGACTTTAATTAATCTATATAATATATAAAAACGGAATAGCCAGAAGACATTTGGGTGGGAAGTGCTTAGCCTTTTGTAAGTAATAACTTTGCCAGATGGCTTAATCAGTTGTGCAATTAATTGATTCCACTTTAAAGTGGTCCCACTTTTTGTAAGTAATGTTGCCGGATCACTTAAATGATACAGAGTATATTCTAGAACCCTTTAATGGAGAAGTGGAACCATTTTTTGACAATTTTAAATAAACAATTAAATAAATATTGGAGAAGATCAAAGTCTCCAACATTGAATCATTTAAATTTATTCTTGAACTTCTCAAGACTTTGTAATTGCAAAATAAATGGTCTACCTTATAAGAGTGTTGTTCGTATAAATAGGGTCCATTACATAGCGAATGATCGGCCATCCAGAATAGAAATTCCTCAGTAGTTTTCAGCAGGTGCAGCTACGTCCACTTGATAAATAAAATAGCACAAGCCTACAAAATGCATACTTACATATGCAAGTGGGATGAGGTAATAAACCACCTTTACTAATATATACTCCCTCTGTCACATAAAACTTTGTCATATTTCCTTTTTTGGACGTCCCAAAAAACTTTGTTACTTTCTCTTTTAATCATATATTTTGTGGTTTCTATTATTTTTCTCTCCTCTATACAAATCTCAACCACACAGTTTTTACTTTATTATTCTCCGTGCCGGTCAACTTTGGTAAAGTTTTAAGGGACGGAGGTAGTAATATACTCCGTATAAAAAGATCGTAATGCTATTTTCTTTAAGGTCTGTGAATGCTAACTAGTAAATTACCCTTGAGCTTCTCCAAGAATGTTGGAAATACAACTAGCATCGTTTTATATATGCCGTATTCTTCTTACAACATATGATCCATGATT